ATATGTCAATCATTGTGATTGATTCTTCCTTACTCCCCCTCCTCCTTACCCTCCTAGTATCACTGCACCCCTTATTGGTTCTGAGAGGTGTGTCTGCTCTGGATAAACCATTTAATAAAATGCATACTACCTTGTAGCATAGAACATTAAGACTTAGCCTCGTATTTTCTCTTAAGTTTAGAAAGTTTCCCTAAAACAAATTCCCAGTGCCTATGTCATCCAACTACAATCTCCATACTAAGCCCCAAACACCCTTCCTGTTCAACTTTAGCTCTCTTTGCCTCCCCCTGCACACATACCGTTAGTTACACATGCGCACTCTCTTCTGATGGGTCAGACTCTTTTTCACCTTTATTTCCTTGTGCATGATGTTCACATGCTCTGCCCAAGTAACGCTTGTCACAAAGCCATCCTCATTGGCTACATTCTTAAACAATTAGTCCTCCACCTTCTGGGCACTCAGGTGCATACCTCTGTGTAAATATCACACCCTTTTGTAACTGATTGCACGTCTGCCTTTTCTAATTAGAATGCGAACTGCTTGAAGGCAGGAATCTGGTAATTTTATTCAGTTGGATAATCCCCGTGCCAACTGTAGCGTTCCTGACCCATAGGTGTCTATTGTAATGTTTCCGTGTGTGCTTTCTGGACCATTAGGGAGACTTTTTTAAAGACCCATACAGAAAGAACTGATTACGTTGCAGAGAGGCATATGGGACTGGTGTTACTAATTCTCTACCGCCCAGCGGCATGGGCCCCACTTTTCGTTAAGTGAAGCGAGGCTTTGGTGAGTAGGGAGTTCCCCCATACCTCAGCAGCAGAAAAACGGTCTTGCAGATGCAAAAGCAAGAGTCGGCCAACTTGGTTCACTATCAGAGTTTGCAGTCCCCATCTCCAGGAAGCAAAATAGTAAACATCTCATTCCTCTTGTTTCGGTGTTCCGATAATTTCTCAAAATTAGCAAGCAAGAAAAGAAATCCTGGAGAAGTTGAAAGACACAGACCTAAGCAGATGTTCCTGGAATCTTAAGGTCGCACTTCTCGGGCAGAATGTGTTTGTTAGCGGTTCAAAGAATAATCTGTCGGCATGTTATTTTCTTGGTAAATTAAAATTCATTTCCTAGGAAATGCCAGTTGCCTTACCTTCCTGCTATTCAGCAGAATGGAGCTAATGAAAAGATGACCCTGAAGACTGTTGTTGGTGGAGGTGGTTACTTGTAAGCACTCTTGAACCACCATTCTATGGCAACTGACACCATGTTGAGGCTTGAATGGGTGCTGTAAGGGAAGAAGCTGCTGTGAATTAAAGACCCTCCTAGCTCATCTGTCTGCATTTGAGAGAGATCTCCTTGCTGTCAGCCTAATCAGAATAAATGCAGTCAGTTGAGAAATTTGCACTTGAGGCGTCTACCTTATCCCCTGAGTATAGGCTCAACGTCCACACTAGCGTGAGATCTTACGGTGGAGTGGAGAATTTGGAGAGTAGGGGGTCAAGCACAGTTGTTTTCCCTTTCAAAACAGGTCCAAAATCCGGGTTAATATCTACAATACCATATGCCTTAAGATCTTGCATCCTGCCCAGCGCCAGACCTGCAGTGTGTCTTTCTTGCTCTGTGGTGTGTCAGGTACCTGATCCAGGATAATGGACGTGCGTGTTGATGGGCGTTAGTATCAAATTTAGTGTGAGTTACTCTCCATTTCATATCTTTCTGCCTCCCAGTGGAGAATCTCACTCAAGAATCAGATTTTGATGAGTTTGTCTTCGAAAACAATGTGAATACAAACGCGGCTGTAACGAGGACTTCACTGGCTCCCTGTGGGGTAGAATTCCCAGTAATAACAGATTTAGCATGTGAGCTGATACCTTTTTAGTATCACAGGGACAGCATTGTTTAGAGAAAGCCTTGACTCCATTTGAATAGTGCAGAGGATGCCAGGAGGAAGGCCAAAGGAAAAGGAAACGGGAGAGCTCTTGGTTTGTCTCACCCTTACATCAGATGACAGGAAGTCGGAATTGAGATTGGCCACAGCAACCTGTTAAGGCCACATCTGTTTGAATAACTTAGAAGCTCTGTAGAAACCAAATAAGCTGGAGGGTAAGGAATCCCAGGAAAAGATGCAGGGGCAAGTGGCAAGAGTGGTGTCTTGCCTAGAATAAATCTCTTTCTTGGCTATCTATATTCTGTACACAAGGCACCAGGGCTTGGTTAATTACCCACGGCTGGAGAATGTATAGGAACTGGCCCAGGTTCCCCTCCCCAGCCTCACAGAAGCCCACATCAGTGATCGAACTTGAAAGCAGTTAAGGAAGTGCCCCTCACTGTGGCTTGAGTTTTCGAAGGGTTTCTCACGAGTGCAGTTTAGGTCCAATACTAACTATGAAATCCACTGGAAAAGTCCACCAATGTTGATTTGTTCTGCGTGAATATGTATTCGTTTGTTAGCTTTGTTTAGTTTTGAGATAGGGTAGGCTTCAGCTTTTGGAGTATGGGTGTGTGTTTCTGCTAGAATTAAAGCTGTTTATTCATAAATACTATTGTGTTGCCAAGAAATTAAAAATAAATAAACGGACACTGTTTTTGAGCTTTTCTCTGAAAGAAACACAAATGGAACTTGTGGGCCTGGCAGCTGTTGGGTAGGTGTGGGCTTTGTTTGGCATTTTTGTGTTAGACAGACACATAGCCATGACAATTCTAGTTCCTATCCCAAACAACTCTGTTTGCCAAATCAACCAGCACAACAGTTTGGAGGAGGCCCGGGTGGGGACGAGGTGGGGGGACTAGGGGAAGCATCGTTAGATTTTTACCACTGGGATAAACGGCTTGCTGTTACTTAGCAAAATAACCAAAAAAAGCCTTCTAGAATACTCATGGTTTTTCTCTCTCCACAGATACCACCTCCTCAAGCTCCTCCAGAAATTTGGCAAAGTAAAGCAATTTGACTTCCTCTTTCATAAGTCAGGTGCTCTGGAGGGACAGCCCCGAGGCTACTGCTTTGTTAACTTCGAAACCAAGCAGGTAATGGTGGGTCCACTCCCTTTTCATAGTGCTTATCAAACTATCACCTAATTGTTTGTGCATCCCTCGTGTCTACTAGAATATCCATTCCTGGGGGGTGGGGGGGATGGAGGGTGGAGCTGTGACTGGTTTCTGTACCTGTAGCACTCAGTGCTACAGTTGATCTTCAGCAAACAGATGCACTATTGAGCATCATTCAGAATGGATCCTTCCTGGGCTGGAGTTTTCAGGCACTGACTGACCTACTTCTCTGACCAGATGCTTTGGAATGCCCACATTGAGGGTATGGACATCCTCCTCCCTGTTCCGCTCCGTTTGTTCCTTCTGTGGCTGGCCAACAAAATCCCATTGGCTTTCCATAGTTTTGCCCTGTGGTGCAGAAGCCCGCTCTGTGGTGAGCCACCCACAAACTCTGTATTTTCCTTTGATTTCTTAAAAAATGTACCCTTCTCAGTGTTTTCAGAGCAAAGGCTTGCAGATTTTAATATACCAGAGGGCTCCTAAAAGGTCATTGGAGAAAATTCCATTATCTTTTCATTCCTTTCATACATAGAGGAAGAGAATATCCCGTTCAGTCATGAAAATAGACATGTATCCTCTTGGATTCATGTTTTAGTCCTGGGTGCATTGATTTGAAAAAAAAAAAAAAAAGAATTTGAATACAGTATAGAGCTACTGCTTGGTACTGTACAATGTGTTTAATCACTTGTAAGCACATTTAGTGATTGTTTCTGTTTTTGTTTTCACTATTAATAATAATGGTGTCTGAATAATTTCTTTGATAAAAGTAATATATGCTAATTATAGATGAAAATATAAAAACCAAAAAAGGAAAAGTCACTTATCTGTCCAATACCCAGAAATAATTGCTGCTAATATTTATATATCTGTCCCATCTCTCCTTCAAGTACAACACACATAAGAGAATATAAAAAGTTTCTAAAGCCATGGTGGTATTGCCACATAGTGGTTACCTCTTGGGCTGCTAGTCACAAAGTCAACAGTTAGAAACCGCCAGCTAAAAACCACAGAGGAGGCTTCCTACACCCCAAACAAGTGGCAGTCTCAGAAACTCATTGGGGCAGTTCTGCCCTGCCCTCTGGGGTCACTCTGAGTCTGAATCCACTTGGTGGCAGAGAGTTTGGTTTCGGGGTTTGGTCAAGCTTTGTCAAAGAGCCCTGAGCTGCACGGTCTGTGACTGGACCCTCCAGTGGCTCCGCAGACAGAGATGTGACAGTCTGTTCTGCTTCTGTGGACGTCAGTAGGACGGCAGCCCTAGGAACTCTCGGGCCATGCAGTTCTGTCATGTGAGTCCCTATTAGTTAGAATGGACTCATTAGCCAGAAGGATTATGTTTTATCACTGAATACTCGATAACTTTTACTGTCTTCTAATATACATCAAGATAACATTCTGTGTGGTGATATTCAGGTTTCACTGTATATACATTAAAAATATTAATTTTACTGCATCTTTACTCGTGCATGTTATTAGACGTATCTTAGATCTCAAACTCATCAGCATCATTTTTAATCATTGTTTAATACTTCATTGTCTGAGTACTCGCTAACTACCTATTGCCTTCCGGAAATGATGAGATTGAGAGTGCTGTTTGTAATACCAACTCTGGGTATTATTGGTTCTAATATTTGTAAGTAACATAGGCAGTTAAATGATACATTATTATTCTAGTTGGTCAAGGTTCTCTAAGGAAACCGACAGAATGCTATAAATGGTTAGTGCTTGAAAGTATTTTATTCCTCCCTCATGCTAGTGTGATGAGGAAGCTGGAGAACCACTAAAGTCAGTGTCATGGTGAGGGATAGGTGTTGGTTTAGAAGCACCGGACTAACAGTCACAAAACCTAACGTCTATTTCTGGCTGTTTTGTTTATTAAATTTGAGGCAGTCTCTTAAACTCTTCTGGCCTCAGTTTTCATTGAAAATGAATTTGAAACATTTCTCCCTTACTGGCATCTGATTGCTGCTGATGTTAACAGAATTAACAAAATATGCTTTGGAAGTTCGGTTTCACCATATGAAGCTTTGTTTGTGTATTTTGAGGAAGCAAGAATGCCAGTGACTACCCAATGCCCAACACAGAATGGATACCCAATAAATATTTGTTGACTGTTATACTAGCAAGCTCTAGACAAACAAGACACTCGCCAGCAAAAGCAGACAGGACTGACTGCTAGACTGCACTCCAGCCTCAGCTAGATGCTCCCTGCCCCTGCTCTCTGGGACTTCTTTCTTTATCTGTCCCTTAAGGACTTCTTCACCCCCAGTAAACCTGGCTGAGTGCCGTAGGGCCACACATGTGAGACATAAAAGATTTGGCAGGATAGGAAAGTATAGCCAGGTTTCCTGGAAATGACTTAGAGTGACTGTTATCAACCTTCAGGAATTTCTTTCGATGTTGTTTCTCCTGCATCAGATGGAGTAAAGGTCTGGGTACTTTTGGTTCTTAGAGCCATCCGCTAGAGTCACTCAAATAAACACCTTCATAGACTCGTGGGCTCACTCCTTTTTCCTGCCTAGTTTCCCTCACTGCCATGTCCATTTAAGCCATTACTATTTCTCAGTATGAAGCAGAATCCAGGAAGTAGTTGCAGGGGCCCTGGGAAGAGTGCAGTATCTTGACATAGAAAGTGCTGTCTTACAGGAAGGTGTAGAATGGTGTCACCTACTAAGAACACCACTGACATTTGTGAAGTCATTGCTATACAGTGTTCTTTTTTAATCACATATGTGCTCTTTGAATCCTCACAACAGCCAGTGGATTCTTTTCGAACCCTCAAAACAGCCAGCTCACAAGTGATGGCTTATTCATACTTCACGGATAAAAAGGCTTTACTATTCAGTAAGATTTACGTGAACTGCCAGACATCACACTGCCAGCAAGAGATAGAGGCAAGATTTGAGCTGAATTCTTAACCTGAAGGACTTCAAAAAGCTCATACCCTTTTTGTAATTCTGCCTTTTTTCTAGTAAGCCCTTTGCCAGTTATTTACCAAAAGCAGTGTGGCTAGAGACTCCACCATCAAGGAAGTGCCGCCCTGGGAGCGAACCTGCAGCTCCTTAGGCATTTGCACATTTGACTAACTTTCATTCTTTTCCTGAGCAGGAAGCAGAACAAGCCATCCAGTGTCTCAATGGCAAGCTGGCTCTATCTAAGAAGCTGGTGGTGCGATGGGCTCATGCGCAAGTAAAGGTATGTTGAAGAGGCCAGAAAGACACCATCAAGTCTCATCCTCAATGAGTTTGCTAACAGACAATTGTCCACTTCTCCACTTGCATCCCAGCCTCTTCACATCTGGAGCAGTCATGCTTTGCTCTCCTACTTGTATTTCCCACTTGGGTTGCTAGAGTTTTCTTTTGAGAAACATCTCAGGAAGGATTAAGCTTCTCCGTTGTTTCTTTCCACATGCCCAAAGATCCTGCTTCTGATTGATTTTTCCATGTGGCTGATGTACTCGGACCTCTTGTTTTTTAGTTGGGGTTGTCCTGGGGGAGGAGGGAAATGTATTTATTTTTCAAATAAGTTGCTTTAGGCAATATTAGCCTCTTCCCAGACTCTCTAAGTCTGTGGAGAGTTTGAGTGTTTGATCGCTAAATGTATGAGTGTGTAAAGCACTGTCATCTCCTGACCCCGGTGTTTGCAGAGCCTGTGTTAACTCCGAGCATTGAAAAGTGGCAAGCGTTCTTGTGCATCCTGTCATTGGTCCCTTGGGAGAAAGCACTAGGAAAACAATTTGTTTTTAAGTAAAGGAAAGGGGACTCACATTCCATTGCCACTGGCACAGCAGTGGTGAAGTGAGAGTGACCCAGCGCAATGCCAAGAGTTGGTTACCTCCGCTCTTTCTGCAGTGGGGTCTTGACAAACAGACCTGTGAGAAGACTTGTGACGGCTAATGGTTGACGTTTCAGTCTTTAGCTATGTGAGCATGATTTTTCATCAGACTCTGCTCCTTTCCCAATAAACGCCTTGTAAAAAGTCACAGAAATTAACCAGAATTTGGTCATAGTGCCTAACCTGAAAAACAAAGCTGAGACACTTTGAATCCTGAGGATTTCAGGTAATCCTAAAGCCTTCTCAATTTCTGGGACACATTGCCTTAAAGATAGAAACAGCCAGAAGTCCCAAATACATTTTTTCCCCAAAGAAAATTGAATCTCATTTGGCAAACTGGCTGCCGTGTTCTCATTCTGTATCGCACTGAAAAGGCACGCAACGGCACCCTCCTGCATGCCCGTCTCTCACAGACTCTGCCAAGCAGTCCTCTTCCTCCACGCGGCGTTTGACCAGAGGCACCAGATTGCTCTTTCACACTCACTTTTTCTCGGTGCATTTAATAGTTTAGTAGAGCTTCATATTTACTTTTTATAAAAAGTATACAGTGGATTCAACATAGGGATTAAGGCTACCAACCCACCTCACAGTCAAAAATCCACATGTGAACTTTGACTCCCCCAAAATTTAACTTGACCAGAAGCCATTTTAACAAAAGCAGTCAAGTAGCACATCTTTTGTATATTATATGTGTTGTATACTGTACCTACCTAAAAGCTCCATTTTCAACACAAGATAAAAAGGTGTTTGAGTGAAGGGGGCGATAAAGCAAGGTTTTCGTGCCTGCTAACATTAGCTTCCACAACAGCTTCCCAAACTTTCTTTTCTGTTTTCACAACGATCCCTAGCTGGGTTCATTTTGTCTTGAACTGGCAGGCACCCACAGCCTGCAGTGAGAGAAAGCCATTCAGCTTTTTCTCGGAATGCCATGACTTTGCCCCTGAGAGCACTGCCAGCGTGGCTAGTAGACTTCGCCTGGGGCCCTTGTGTGTTATTCAAAGTTTACAATATTGCACCAAATGCAGTGAAAAATCTTGTGAATCATGAGCGACCGTTTTTTACTGTGATGTGCCGCTTACTCACAGAGATGATTAGCACCACACATTGGGGGGGGGGGGTGTTTGTTTTTAATTAATAAGTGAACTCACGCAGCTCAAATCCACATTGTTCAAATTCTATTACCTTTTTACTAGAGATTGTTTTCTAAATCTTTCCCATTAAGGCCTTTTAAAAGTTAGCTCATTTAGCAGAATTTTTAAGTGCTTTAAGTAAAATAAATATTGTAACAAGTGGTATGTGGCACATAAAATAAGTATACAAGGGGGCATTCCTGCTGTGTATTTGTACCATCTGTAAATTCAGAAGTTGGCGTTCTTTCCCTGCCAAATAAGGAAGGATAATGGTTAGGTGAAAAACTGTTTCTCAACATTTTTTCCCAAAGCATACAGCATTTAGGCCATTTGTGGAATTTTACATTAATTCAATATGCGAAACAGCCCTAAAATCGTCTCCAGATAAGCTGCTGCTGCCCTGTCGGGATTGATGTTTCTGAAGGTGTGCACGACAATAGAGGGCTTCTTGCTGCCCAGCTTAACGTTTCCCTTTCTCTTACTTTTAGAGATATGATCATAACAAAAATGATAAGATCCTTCCAATCAGCCTTGAGCCGTCCTCCAGCACCGAGCCCACTCAGTCTAACCTCAGGTAAGGAAGCGCTGGGGCGTTAGAGGTCAGTACTTACTCTGGAGCTTGAACCATTTCTTCATCCTTAGCCTTCATTTGTGTCCTAGTCACTCTGCAGACTGTTGTTTTAGAATAGAGCCTACTAAGTTTTGACTTGTTGAGAAGTTTGTTCAGTTCACCTCCAGAAATGCATTTCTTCTCCTAAAATGATGTACACTTTGGCTAGGGTTCAATAACTCAAAAACTGTTCAAAGCACAGCTTCTGTGTGCCAGAATTGTACGTGGTAGTGGTGATACAATGATAACACTATCTTTACTCTAAAATCAAGCCTTTTAATAAGACTTTGGATCTCTTTGGCGACTGTCATTACAAACACCAGAGAGCAGCTCATTCTTCCCCAAACATAAGTCACTCTTATATAGACTTCAGTTTAAGAAGTTTAATTCTGGTCACCAGATTAGCAACTATAGCAGTTTGGTTCCTATATGGACAAATTGTCATTGCATCTTTGGAGTTCAGTTAAAACAGAAGGGTTTTGTAGAGAAATGAGAAGTTAAGTGATGCTTGGACTTTCATCATAGCCTAGCGAGAAATTTTTAACAATAGCAGGGATTTGTGGAACAGCATTGTGCTCAATACTTGACATGCAGTATGTCGTTCAAATATCATAAAGACTCACAGAATTCTGGCGGCAGGACTGTTAAGTTCACTTGACATTTTCAGAAACTGAAGTTTGCAGAGGTAAACTATCTTGCCCAGATTCAAATCCAGATGTGCTGGACTTAAGTCAGGAAAGCAATGCCTCTTTGGATGAAAGACCACAGAGATGAGAAAGGTCTTTCTTTTGTCTCAGACTGCTGCAGGGAGGTCCCTAGGTGGTGCACACAGTCTGTGCTCCATTTCTAGCCTAAGGCTTGGCCATTTGAATCCACCATTCTTTCCAAGGGAGAAAGGCCTGGTGATCAACTTCCATAAAAATGACAGCCAAGAAAATCCCATGAAGCAGTTCAGCTCTGTACCACTTGGGGGCACCATGAGTTAGAATCTACTATAACAAAAGGGTTTAGTTTTCGCAAAATGTTTTCTAGGTGAGTCAGAAAAGATAAAACTAGACCATTGAAGATGAGCCAGTCAGGATGCAGTATAGCACCGATGAAACATACAACTTTTCTCTAGTTCTTTAATGCTTCCAACCCCCTCTCCCCCGCTATCATGATCCCAATTCTACCTTACAAATCCGGCTAGACCAGAATATGTACA